TAATAATAATAATAATAATAAATATTTTAATGTATAAATTAAAATGTAATTAATATATATTTTTATTATTAATTAGTATTAAAAAATAAAAATTAACTTTTATTTTTTCAATAATAATTAATAAAAAAACCATTAATTTGTACCTATGAATCACGTATTAAAAAAACCCAAACACACCTTCCGCCAATTACCGAGCAAATCCGCCAAACCTAAGCTCCTTAGGCTTCTTAATTTTTTGTGTTGAATTCACGTGCCAAGCAATATCTACCCCCTAAATCAATTCACCGGACCCATTCCAAATTTCCAAACACCAATACCCAAAAACTCCAAAGAAACCATCATCATTAAATGCTTCTCAAGTTGATTGTTATAGTCAATGCTCTGCAAGTTACCAAGAAAGTGAACGTCTAAGTGCAACGTAATTAAGCATCCTCTATAAAAGGAAACCATCGAGAAAAGTCATTACTGGGGCCAGGCACAACTGTCTCAATTTAATTGATGATGATTTTCCGCGTTCGAAAAAATAAAAATAAATAATAGTCCAAAATCTGGTGATCATGTAACTTCAATTCAAAAAAAGTCTGGTGATCAAATGTTGGAAGGTGGAGAGTGTGTGGTTATTTTAAGGCCAAGAAATTAGTAATTCTTCTGTAAACCATTAGACTCCGTTTAAAGACCTGAAAGTTGCCGACACCTTTTGCCCCCTTTTGCCCTGGCCCTCTCCATGCCTAGTCCAGGCCTCATCTTTGTCGCTCTTCTTCTTCTCGCCTTAATTCATGAGACCTGCAGTGCCAAAGATAAACATTACTGTCCACCTTCTTCTTGTGGAAATAATTCGAATATTAGCTACCCTTTCAGATTAAACACAGATCCGCCTAATTCCTGCGGAATGACTGCAAATCCAGTATATAATCTATCCTGTGAGAACAACCTTACAGTATTGTACTCTGATCAATCAAGAAAATTCTACGTGAAAGCAATCAATTATGACAATCAAACAATTCGAGTTGCTGATGCTAGTTTTGAAGAAGGGAGCTGCTCCATACCTCAATATTCTTGGGACGCCGATAACTTCTCAACGTTTTCACAAGATTATTCTTCTTCTTATTATTATTATGCCTATGATGTTTTATTTTGGGAGGATGTTCTTTTCATAAGTTGTGGAAATCTTGTAAGTGATCCTCTTTATGTGGAAGCTCCTGCCTGCATCAATGACGGCTCTTTCTCCACACCTTATAGGCCTAAATCTGAAGGCAAAAGGTATTATTATGTGAAACTTGGATCGACTGCACTTGAGTTAAAACCCTCATGCCGTATTGAGCTAATGGTACTTACACCATTCATACGGGAGAAGAATTACGAGAACCTCTCCTACCTGGACATCCACCATTGGTTAGCATATGGAATTGAGTTGTCGTGGCGGTATGCTTCATGTGGAGAGAGGCATTCTTTTTCCTACATTAATGAGGAAAACCAGTGTGTTCCTTATCAAGGTACTTTAGAAACAAATTCTTTGGATTTGAGTTCCAATTGTGCACATGCCTTTTCATTTCTTGGTCGTATCTTTTTTTAGTGGCAAAAGGTTTTGGCTAATTTTGTTTACTTCATGCAGACAATCGAGTCTATGACTATTTCATCAGTACTGTTGGATCCGTAATTGGTAAGTACCCCTAATCGACATTTTGTTCAATTATATCATACATATGAAGCAAGAATAAAATTTGGTTAAATGAATGCAACTGAGAGATATAATTGTTGTCACTGACCAAATGCTGATGATCACTACTAGCTAGGGATGTCAATTTGCCTCGATCCCCGCAAGGTTCCATGGGGATCCCCGCTACGAGGACGAGACGAAGAAGAATATTCTTTCTCGCGGGACGGGAACAAAGAGTATTTTCTCCCCGTGAAAATTCGCGGAGCCCCGTGGGAATCCCATCCCCACGAAAAATTAAAAAAATATGTAAATTAGTTTTATTTTAAATTTAATTTAACCTTCAAACCCAAATCCAATTCAATAAAATTTAAATTTAATCCAATTTTATCCAACTTATTATTAACCTTTTAATTATTTATGTTAGATTGATCTTTATTTATGTT